ACGATCTGGCACTATATTAGGAGGTTTCCAAAGTTTGGTAACATCCTCCCAAGGGTTCCAAAGTCTGACAACACCATTTTCCCACGGTTCCAATCTACTGTTCTTGAAGAAGAAGATCTCAAGAACAAATCTAATTTTTAGCAATGGCCGGAGGTTTGTTTAAATTCCGCTTCCGCTAACATATTTGATTATATGTTTATTTTCTAAAAGAACACCAATTCATGATGCTAATTAAATTTGAGTAAATTATAATTCTCAGAAAATATGAAATATAATTCAAAGATTTGTGTAATTATATTTGACTAAATCAGTTATGTCTAAAATTTCAAAATAACTATACAAAAAGAAACGAAAACTGTTAACTAATTAGCAAATCATCCTTTTTTTTTCTTTTTTTTTTTTTCCCTTAATGTAGATTGGGTTAATTTTACAATTTTTCAACAAACAAAACTAAAAGGAGCTCATCTTACATTATAAGTTATTTAATACGCAATTTTAAAATTATTTTTCAATCTTCTATAAAGAAGAATTATAGTATTCTGAGTGAGGAATAGTCGAATTTGAAAACCGAGGTAATTAGCTTTTTAAATTGCTAAATAAAAAAATCTAATTTACTTTCCAAATAAAAAATATACACTTAACGGGGTTGGAAGTAATCATATAAAAATAGGGGTGTGTTTGTTTTGGGGTTTCGATTTTGAGTTGGGATTTGAATAGTAAAAATTTTGAATTTAAATAATTGTATGATGTGATATAAATATGTGTTGATGTGATATTTTGTATGTAAAATTGATTTTTAGTATAATATTAAAAATAAAAAATAGGTGTTTGATTTGATGTTTTTATAATGTATTATTCTTCAATCCCAATGGATTGAACTTCAGAGAAAGTTCTCCAGTATGATTTGTAGCGTTGAAGATTTCACTGATTTCGTAAGGGAAAAGAATGACCTTTCAAAATAATTATTTTGTGAAAGAATTATTTGGTTTGTATGTTTAGAAACACTTCCTTGACAAAATAAATTCTACAAGTTGATGTTTTTACCAATAATCAAATTAATTGGATCAAATTTATAATTTTATTTGGCATATTGTTAGAGATAAAATCTTGATTATGGTTTAAGTAGTACCATTTATGGGAGATACAAAAGCACTGACGATTGAAATTAGTCAAAGAAATACAAGCAAATAAATAAATTATTTCATTATAATTTAGGAGGTTGTGTAATCTTTGATTTTATAGATTTATTTACTTACATTTAATTTAATTTAATTTAGGACTTATAGTTGTCAATTCGATATTTTTCCTTCTTACAAAATTGATTTAATTAATAATTAATTGACATAAAGTTTCTACTATATGAATGAATATATTTTAATTCCGAGTAGATTTAACTTGCAATGTGTACACTTGCAATAAATTATAATATAAAATAAGTATCAAGTTTTTGGCATTGTTATTTAGGTTCACTCGAGAAAATAAATCTATACTGGAGTCTGTTGCCTTCATGTTTGGTGACGTCTCACTCCAAATCTTCAATAATATTAAATATATAAATCTCGTAAAGAAAAAAGATAAATTAATATATATATATATATAACACTAGTTGGTCCAGGACTTGAAAATTAGTGAATTTCATTTAGACTTCGTTGAGGTCCCAACCAAGAAGAAAAGTTAAGGTTAGAACAAAAAATGGGAAATTATTGGTGAAAACTTAAAAGGCACATGTACGAAGAAAACATTTTTCAGGCCAACTCTATAGGTGAGTTTAACTCACTTTAATCCATTTTACAGTTGTCCAATAACCGAAAAAAAAAAAAGAAATTCTGATAAAAAAAATTATAAAAAAAGAAATCATAAACTTTATCAGAGAAACTCATATATTTAATATTTTATATATTTTTACAATATGTACTCATCTCATTAACAACTTCCAATTAAATACCTCAAAAATTTCACCAAATCCAACAAGAAAATAAATCAAATTAAAACTATGAAATCACAGAGAAATTAAGTATTGTACTTATCAAACATGTATTGATTGAAAGCTTAAAATATTAGACCAATATCTTCATTGCACAACTACCACCAACTCCAACCCCTATAAATTAAGAAAAAATGATAATAATAATAACAATATATAAGAGAGAATTAAATCATTTAATTATATATATATATTTTTTCTAAAATAATAGTTAGAGTTAAACTCAAAACAACAAATAGCTGGAAGAGATTGATGGTCCAAGAACAAACTTTCTTTAAAAGTGTCCCGTCAACGGTTCTGAAAACTTTAGAGACATTCCTTGAAGAATCCTTGAACATTACCCAATTGGGTGTGTTTGTTCGGGAGATTGGGTTTAATTTTCACTATTCATCCTATTTTTTACCCCCCAAAAATATTAAATCAAAATCTATTTTTTATTTTTTATATTATATTAAAAACCAATTATACATTCAAAACATCACATCAACACCTATTTATATCACATCATACAACTATTTAAATTCAAATTTTTTACTATTCAAATCCCAACTCAAAATCCAAACCCCCAAACAAACACACTGTGCTCAATGATTACATAATTATACGGTAGATTCTTAATTAGTGTCAAGAACATCTAAAATATCATACATCAAATATGCAGTGATTATACACTTTAATTTATCAAGTCATTTTTTTTTTTTTTTCAGATGTGCTCTTGTTAACTACGTGTGCAATGTTTGAAGTGAAAAAACAAAAAGGTAAAAAAATTAATGAAACAAGATTGAAGCCATAAGAGCGAAAGTGCTATGAAATCATTAGGCAACATTTAGGTCAAATGACAACAAATAAAACTTGGGTGGTAAAAACCATGGCTGGCACATAAGTGCTAAGCAATCTTTAAGCAACATTTAGGTCTTTCGACAAATACTTCACAAAAAAAGGCTGAGATTTTTTGTTTTCTGCTCACGCGAGCTCATATCCTTACTTTTCTATCAATCTCGAATTCTGATCTTCCTCCCCAAAGAAAAAAAAAACGAAAAAAAAAAAGAGTTTTTTTCATACCATAAAATGGTAAATGTGTCACAGGTGCATACATAGCACACGCAACCAACCAATATTCATAACATTTTTGCTTAGTTGAAAATAACAACTCAGGTATTTATTTTTAACTCTTCTCCTGAAAAAAAGAAATACTAATAATAATTATAAACTCGGTCCGAAGAGCTGTCCATGCCAATTGCCAAGAACCCACCACACTTAACCTTCTCCGACATTGCCACTAGAGGCCAGTTGGAACTTTAATTAAGCTAATATTCCCATTCCCCAAATTTTTGTATCCTTTTAATTCTTCATTTCATGTTCTTACATAAATTCTAAATAGCTAGTTACAATGATTATTTAACGTGCAATATATATATATATATATATATATATGGCTTTGTAAATTTTAATGTGTCAACAATTATTTTTGCAAGGGAACCAAACTGTGTCTATGTGAGTCACTTACATTCTACTGCGACAACTTATGAGATTCAGGACGAGTTCAACTAGTTTGGTACAATCCAGTATGATGGGGTGTTCTTCCCTAATAAAAAATGTTGAAGCTTAAAGTCACATTTACATTCGAAGAAAAATTAATAACACTGCAAGTTGGGGACCAATTTCTACCTTTTGTTTTCTAATTTTATCCAAATGGAAATTACTCAATTATTAGTGTACTGCCGGTATGATATATATGTACGCATCGTTAATATTTGAGAACTTAACTTTGAAATCATGCAATCATGATAACCTATACAATTTAGAAAATATCATATTGTATATCATATGGTGTTTCTAACATTCTACTATGATATTCAATGTATATTAAAATTTCGTCATTCACAAACCATACAAGGTAACCATTTGGTTGAGCCTCTTTATTCACATCCTAAAGGGTTTGGGTCCAATCCCCATTGAACACAATATAGTGTGGAAAATTTTTTTGGGTTAGATTAGATTTATTATTTTGAGAAAAAAATATGAAACTTTGACTTGATTATTACACCTAATTTATCCTTCTTGATTTATGTAAGTACAACTGACTATATTACTATTATTACTAATTATGAGTCGAGAGCTTATGCAGTTATAATTTACTAAATTACATTCTAAATTATGAGCACCAATTCATGACTATAATTACAATTGACTAAATTATAATTTTCAGAAAGTATGAAATTTAATTGAAAGATTTGTGCAATTATACTTGACAAAATGAACTATGTCTCCAATTTAAAAATAATTATGAAAAAGGAAACAAAAAAATTAATTAAATTACCAAATCATCCTTTTTTTTTTTTTTTTTTTTTTTGTGTGTGTGTGTAGATTGGGGTTAATTTAGCAGTTTTTTAGCAGAAAAACAAAAAGGGGATCCTCTTACATTATAAGTTTTGTTAATACAAAAATTTTAAAAGTATTTTTCAATCTTCTATAAAAGAAAGAATTATAGTATGCTGAAAGAGGAATAGACAAATTTGAAAAATGATGTAATTAGATTTTTAAATTGCTAAATAAAAAAATCACATTTACTTTCCAATAAAAAATATATACTTACCTGGGTTGAAGTAACCATAATGGATTTTAAATCCCAGTGGATTCAACTTCACAGATAGTTCTTCAATATGATGTGTAGCGTTGAAAGATTTCAGTTTGAAAGATTTTTGTTTTTATTTTTCGTTTGAGTGATTTCTTAAGGGAAAATAATGAATTTATAAAATAATTATTTTGTAAAAGAAATATTTGGTTTGTATGTATAGACACACTTCCTTAATACTCTTCCTTTGACTAAATTAAACTTATTACAAGTTGATGTTTTTACCCATTTCTTAAATCTGATTAGTTCATCTATATTTCTATCTAAATAGTCATGATAAAATTATGGTGTAGCTGAATTCAGCACCATACAATGATTGTAATGTAATTATGTAAATGATAAACATCATATGCATGACTCCGAACATACCTTAATTAAGTGCTACTGCCATCGTCTTTGGTGGGGTAGTGCCATGAATTCACAGATTGAAAAATCTACTACACCCTCCTGAACCAGAACCTTTAAGCTATCATTTCCCAAGCTTTCTTGTTCCTCCCATAGTTTGTATGCCGAATCCATAACAGACTTGCAACACTCTTTCAGATGAATTGTATGCAACGTTGGTATATCTCCAATATTACAAGGAATTTCCTCCAATGAACTTAAGTTCTTAAGTTCAAGATACTCGAGTTTAGGGTAGTGGCTTTGATCAGCTCTCCACTGCACTAGATCACAATCCACTATGATCAATACTTTTAATCGAAGAAACTCCCCTTCTGTGGGATCCCATTCGGACCCTTCTGTAGTATCCCACAACATAAGATTTTCAAGATTGGGTAATGATCCAGTAGTACACAGATTTCCATTGAAATCTACTGCACCTCCGCAGAATCAGCTTTTTTAGTGAATTTGGAAATGCAATGTTTTCCAATTGCACAGCACCTTTGACATATAGTGATTCGAGTTTCTGCAATCCGACAAGATTACCAAGAGAAGCATTCGACCCTTTCATAAACTCATTATACTTTATTCCTAATTGCCTCATGTTAGGGATACCACCAAGAATTGCATCTGTAAGCTCAAAATTCAAAACAGTAGTAAGGGTATGCAGGCTTTTCAGGACAAAGATATGCTTCTCTTCAACATGAGAAGTTGGAGGGTTAGGAAACACCACACGTTTGGCTTCAATAACTCTAAGTTGCGGCATATCCCAGATTTCAGATGGTAAATATACGACACTTGAATCACTTGAGTGCCAAAATGACAACGTTTGAAGGTTCCATAGCCAATGTACATTTGGAGGAGACACAAATTTCGGAAGCCTATACACTTCAACATTCACACTGCGTAATTTAGTGTGTTGCAGAAATGAATACAGGACCATGACCATTCTTAGTCGCTTAATATGCGAATAAATCACAGCACAGACACCACAAGAAAGAAGATTCCCTTGAGAACCTGGAGGAAAAAGTGATGCAGGTATCGGAATATTTATGGTTTCTTTGCCTTTGACACAACTTCCACATAGAAAACACACACTTCCCCCCTTCACTACTACTTGTACTCTTGGAGAGCACATAAAATGCCCTTTGTAAGATTCTGTCAAGCATAGGTCTCGCAAAAGGTTGTGAATGCCACAAGTTAGTATTCTCTCCCTCAAAATATCCTTTTCATGAGCAATGATTAGATTTCTATCAACAAGATCTTCCAAGTACCCTTTGGCAACCTCTTCCAAGCTTTCTGTTTCACTTGCTTTAATGAAACCCTCGTCAACCCACAATCTCACTAACTTGTAGACATCAATTTCAGCATCTTCACAGAAAACTCTCATATAGAGGAAGCATGGCTTAAGATACAAAGGCAAATTATTATAGCTCAAAAGTAAGATCTTTGAACAATGCTCGCTCTCACTTGCATTACCAAATGAACTCACATTTTCAGCAATAGGCTCCCAAGACTCTTTCCTCATGTCGGTATCTACAAGTCGTCCCCCAATAACAGTAATCTCCAAAGGAAGTCCTTTGAAACTTCTCACAATCTTCCTTCCAACTAGGGTATCCTGATCCATTTGACATCTATGCTCAAGCCAAAGATTTCAAAATTTTAAACAGCTTGACTTGCTTGATTCATGCATTTAAATTGTTCATTACACAATAGGAATATGAGCTTCGAAATTACAAAATTTCCCAAGAACAACGGGAGAGTCATGTTGCAAAATCAGTTAATTACTTAATCATTAAAATTTATCGATTAATTGGTGGTTGAAAATGTAATAAGCCGATTGACCAAAGTAAATAGAATAAAAAAAATATGCTCTTTGGACTTGGGGTTAGGTATAGTCATTGGACTATACTAGTGTTTAAGGGACAATAAACTAATTAGTTATTTATCTCACACTGAAACTTATAACACAAAGAAGTTGTGTTTAAATAAAACTTTATAAGTAGGGCATAAAGTGTGACTAAGGCATGACATGGCAGTGAGTCACACGTGCACGAGTCCGGACTGGACAAAAAAATCATGAAATGAACTTGAGTCAAATATTATTTTGTCAAGTAAAATATGATAAATAATTTTAGCCCAAAACTGTACGTGCATGCATACATTATTATTTGAAATTTAGAATTTGAATATTATATATATATGACCGTAATTAAATCTTGTATTTATGGCCAGACATTATTGATATTTATTTTTTGTCGATTACCGACAGTTTCGGCTCGGGCATTTATTGTCCTGCATGGTGGAAGTGCCTATAAAAGGCCTTCACAATTCCATTCTTCAAACATACCAAAACACTAGTTTCCCTCTCTTCTTTCCAGCGAGATTTCTGGAAAGTTTCCGGTAACTCTCTTTTGTATTCATGCCTCCCGACACAGTTCTCTTCCCCTCATTTTAGTTCGTCGGAGCTCTGAAATATTGGAGTGCCGCCTAATCCGAAAATGAAGTGTCATTTTATCTTTGAAAATGTTAAGTCACGAACGAGAGGCACTGTCAGGGCGTATTTATTTTGCGAAAAGAGGTTTTTACCTCAACTCGAAATAATTATCGAATTTATTTTGATAAATTATTGTAATTATCAAATTTTATTTTGTCAATAATTGCTTGATATACTCGCTATATAATAATTTTGTAATAATCTCATAACAAATATTTTGATATATTGCAAGAATATTGTCGCTAAATAAAGTTGCCAACATCACGGATGTTGCAGGCAATTCGAATGTAAGCTCGGCCGGCGTCGACCTTCCTGTTGTATCGACATATTCTGGTCAGACTAAACAAATTATGATTTCGAGTATTCCGATTTATGGCATTATAATTTATGACATATTAATTTAAATGCTGTAAAAAGATTAACATATCTTATTTTACTAAATATTAAACAAGTAAACACTAAAATGAAATTAGAAGTTTGTGCGGAGGCAAAAATAGCTAAATTAGTGTTTCCTTCTGTCGAAAAAACACAAAACCAATGGAATTAATATCTTGCAATATTTTCTTTGGGAAATTGTCTCAAACATCCTTTTGGAAATTGCCATAGACTTCATATTTGATTTTGTGAAGGCTCACGATTTCTTTATCCAAGTTCTTTATTACATTCCAAGGAATTTGGAAAAAAAAAATTGTTTCATAATTTGTTAGTGATTTTAGTGTAACGGGATTTATTCGAGACCAATGGCTACTGGGATTACGTGAAATTAATGATGGAAATTAAATTGAATTTTAATGAAATGATAATTGAATTGGTTAATTAAATATTATTAATGAATAATTTGAATTTGAAATTTGAATTTGTGAGTTAACCGTCATTTGTGAATTATTTGAATTAGAGGTTAATGAGTGTAATTAATATATTTATGGTAGTAGTTTGAATTGTTTATATATATATATATGATGCCTAAGTAAATCGATATATATATTTTTTGAGTGAATATTTCTCGATTATCCCTATATATCTTATTATTCTCCTTTTATTTTATATTATTTGTCTTCAAATTGGTATCAGAGCTTTTGCTATGTCCAACAATCTAATTTCTCTCGTTCCTCGATTCAATGGCAAAAAGTTTGATTACTGGAGCAATCTCATGAAATTATGTCTTGAATCTAAGGTTTATGGAGTGTTTTGGAAGATGGTGTAGGTGCTCCAGAAGACAAATCCAGACTCACTGCTGCCGAAAGAAATTCTCTGAGGAACAGAAGGCAACAAGACAGAAAAGCTCTCTTTCAAATATATCAAGCGATTGAGATTCCAGTCTATGAAAGACTATCCAAGGCTGGAAGTGCACAAGAAGCATGGAACATCCTACAAACAACATACTCTGGGCAAGATCAATTAAAAAAAGTTCGCTTGCAATCATTAAGGGCTGAATTTGAAAAAATGGAGATGAAAGATAACGAAAAAATTGGAGATTATTTTACGAGAGCGAATTCTCTTGTGAATCAAACGGCATCAAATGGAGAAGTTGTTGAAACCCAACGGATAGTCGAGAAAATCTTGCGTAGCCTACCAAGTAAATTCGACCATGTTGTGGTAGCAATAGAGGAGTCGCAAGATCTCTCGTTGATGGCGTTAGAAAGTTTGCAAGGAAGATTGGAGGCCCATGAAGTAAGAATACTTCAGAGGAATTCTCAAAGTTCCATTTCTCAAGATCACGCTTTGAAGTCCCAATTTACGGGAGGACGTGGTTTCTTTCATGGACACGGGCGAGCACGAAATCAAAGCTGGGGACGAGGAAGGGGTGGCCAACCACCTACAGAAAATAAATAGCGGCGTGAAGATGAGAAATTACGATCTTTCACCCAACGAGGAAGAGGGCGTGGTAACTATAAAGGTACAAAACCTTATGTAGAGTGCTATTATTGTCACAAACCTGGACATAAAATTTCTGATTGTTGGGAAAAATATCTAGAAAAGAGGCATGAAAATGGTTTTGTGCATGAGAAAGGAGTTGAAAATACAGAAACATTGTTGATTGCTTCAAATGGAAATATTGGGGGTATTTGGTGTTTGGACAGCGGGGCAAGCAAACACATGACTGGAAATAAAAATTTGTTTTCCACTCTTGTTGAAGCTAATCACGGGCAGGTTACAATTGGAGATGCCAAGGCATATAAGATCGAAGGCGTTGGAGAAATCTCATTCAAGGCAAAAAATGGGAGAGTTGAAAAAATGTCTGAGGTATTTTATGTTCCTGGGTTACAAAGCAATTTGTTAAGTGTTGCCCACTTAATGAAAAAGGGGATTGATATTCATTTTGTTGACAACTTTTGCACTATGGAGAAGAAAAATCAAATCATAGCAAAAATCGGTTTGGGAGCAAACAATTTGTTTGCTTTGAAGCTTGATATCTTAAATAATGCTGGAAATCTTGCTGTTAATGAGCAAATCTCCAAGCTGTGGCATGACAGGTTTGGGCACTTTAATTTTGGGAGCTTACAGGAGTTGTCGAATAAATCGATTGTATATGGACTGCCCAAAATCGGAGGAGTACAAGAAGTTTGTGAAGAGTGCCAATTGGGAAAACAACATCGAGAGTCTTTCCCATCAAAATCTGATTGGAAATAAAAAATGCCTTTGGAACTGGTTCACACAGATTTATGCGGGCCAATGAAAGTTCCATCGCTTGGAGGTAACCGATATTTCTTGTTGTTTATTGATGACTTCACAAGGAAAGTTTGGGTTTATTTGGTGAAAGAAAAATCTGATGCACTTCCTTGTTTCAAAGAATTTAAAGCTCAAGTTGAGAAATTTACTAGTTCTCACATAAAAATCCTGCGAAGTGATCGTGGAGGGGAATACATGTCCTCAATGTTTGAGGAATTCTGTCGGAACCATGGGATTCGACATGAATTGACAGCCCGATATTCACCAAAACAAAATGGCATTGCCGAACGAAAAAATAGAACCACCATGGATATGGTTCGATGCATGCTGAAAAGGAAAAATATGGCAGCTGAATTTTGGGGAGAGGCAGTCTCATGTGCTGTCTATTTGATCAATCGATCGCCGACAAAGAGTTTGGAGAATTATACTCCGAATGAGGTGTGGTATGGGAAGAAACCGAATGTTAGCCACTTGAAAACATTTGGTAGTGTTGCCTATGCACACATCCCAAATTCTTTGAGGAGTAAGCTTTATGATAAATCTGAAAAATGCATATTCATTGGGTATAGTGTGAGAACAAAAGCTTACAACTTGTATAACCCAAAATCAAAGAAAATTGTGATCAGCAGGGATGTACGATTTGATGAGAATGCTTCCTATGATTTTTCAGATTTATCATCAGAATTCTCACATTGGCAGGTTCTTAATTTTGAAGATGTTGATACTCAACAAATACAGCAAAACATTGGTGAAGAAGAACCTGCTGAAAATTCTGCAGCTCCAACGGCGAGGACAAGGACTTTGAGAGAACTTTACGATGAAACTGAACCGATTGATGGGCCAAACCAAGTGTACTTTGCTTTCTTTGCAGGGGTAGATCCAATCTCGTATGAAGAAGCAGCCAAGGAGAAGAAATGGGTGCAAGCCATGAAAGAGGAGATTAATTCCATCGAGAAGAATGGCACTTGGGAGCTTACAAATTTGCCTCCACGTAAATCTCCAATTGGTGTAAAATGGGTGTTCAAGACAAAAACAAATCCTGATGGATCAGTCAACAAATATAAGACAAGATTGGTTGCGAAGGGCTACAAGCAAAAAGAAGGAGAAGACTTTAATGAGGTATTTGCTCCCGTTTCCAGGCTTGATACGATTCGATTGATTCTTTCACTTGCAGCTCAAAATGGTTGGAAATTATTCCAAATGGATGTGAAATCCGCATTCTTGAATGGATTTACTCAAGAAGAAATTTACTTGGAGCAACCTCCTGGATTTGTTCGAAAAGGTGAGGAACACAAGGTTTACAAACTTATAAAAGCTTTTTATGGGTTGAAGCAGTCGCCTTGAGCATGGCACGGAAGGATTAATGATTTTTTCTTGAAGTTTGGCTTTGAGAGATGCCCACTCGAGCATACTCTATGTCAAAAAATGTTGCAATGGTGGTGTTATGATTGTGAGCCTTT